ATTGTAATTTTTCATTATATTTTAGTCTTTATTTTTTTAAATATTTTAATTTATCTATTTTTTTCTTTCTTACTAACACTACTATCATAAAAATTTATTATTGTTGACCATTGTTTGCATCCTCCGCCATTTGTAATAGATAGTTTCAAGGTTCTATATTTTAAATTTTTTATGGATATAATGCTTTTTCACTCGTTCTCTAATATTTCTAAAATTGAAATCTCTCTTAGCCTTATAGTGAGTGAATTCTAACACAATGTTACATTAAAGTTTCAAACTTTTCCTTAAAAGAAGTTTTTTGAAGTGTTTCAAGGTTCATTGCATAAGCAAGAGTTATATAAAGTTTCTACCTTAAGTTTCAATGAAGCTTTTAATGTCACCAAATCAAGTTTTCTAAACTTAACAATGAGGGTATACATGCTTAAGTTGAAGGGAAGAAGTTGAGAGTGTAAAAACTAAAAATATGACTAAGTTAAAAGGTTGATAATCTTTATGATTCGTGTTAACATTCAATTTTAGTATCTAGCTATGAATTAAAGGAGTAAAAATGGATTATAGTACTTTCATGTGAGGTCTCATCCTAAGATGTATTTCGTGAAGGAAGAGGAGAAAATGTTATGATATTACAATTTACAATAGAGTTTTAGAGGTTAAAAACTATAGATAAGAAAGAGTTTCAAGCAGTAATGACTAATAGTAGTTTCTAACAATAGTAGTGTTCAAAGGATGAAAAAGAAAATAGATGAGTAAATGAAGAATTTTAAGAAATAAGGACTAAAATATTTAATATGTGATAATCTCAAGGACTAAAATACTAAAAAAAAGTATATCATATCTTATACAATATTGTTTTTACCGTACAATAAATCATATGTCTCACTTAATGTGACATGTCAACATTTTATTATTATATGTTAATGATGATGGCTTGAAGGAATAAAATGATAGACAAAGACAAATATCAAACACTAACATGATATTTTTAAATTTTCAAGAACTAATATATTTAATGTTTACTATTTTAAAAGACTAAAACAAGTTTAGTGATGCTCTTAATTTTTTGAAAATGAAATAATAATAATTTGTTTAGATAAACTCATAAATAAATATTTATAGAAGAGAAAATTAAGTAGTAAAATCAATCAAATTCTTTTTATAAGTTATAATTACTTTATGTTTCTCTAATCTAAAAAAAATTATTTAAAGAGTATAAGTTGTTTATGACATGAAATTTTTTTTTTTTATAAAAAATTATGTAGAATTTTATTTAAATTAAACTTAAACTTAAATTTTAGTCTGTAAACATCACATTTTTTCTTAGTGATATTCTTCTGAGAGGGTATATGTTTTATTTTTTACTTTTTCTTATTTATTTTTCCTCATTTATGTTTTTTTTTTTTAGAATTTTAAGATTTAACAATTTTCTTTCACTAACAAAAGCATCACTGTTTTAATTCTTTGTTGATTTTATTTCAAATAAATCTATTAATCCTTTTTTAAGTTTATTTTTCTTTTTCTCACTTGCTTTTGTCCTTTATACTTTCTATCTCATTCCCATCTTCTTATCATTTTCTCACTTATATTTTTGTTCCATCTTTTTACCTTTTTCATGACAAAGGACTCTTTGTTCTATCTTTTTCTACCTATTAAACCTTTTGTTTAGATAATTTAAAAAATGTTTATGTAGTTAATACTTAATTACACAAGGATTATCTTTGTAATTTTTTTTATTATGTGAAACATTAGAAGTATTTTTTTTATAATTAGAAAGGATTAAGACTTTAAGATAACACAACTATTAAACGATAGAAAGAAACTTCTGTGCTACCATTTAAAATAAATGACAAGCACGAACAACGAGTCATGTATAATATAAATATCAAAAGACATTGAATGAGAAAACATAGCAAGTCATCCTATAATTGTTCAATCAAGAGATTTTGGTTATATTATGAAGTGTTTGATATGGACTTTGATTATATAATTTTAGCTGTGTTTGTTCAGCTTTCTATATGATTGTTTTAAAGTAGAATATTGTTAAAGTATGAACAATAAATTAGAATGTTACTAGAGTTTATAGTTATATCCTATTACTTATAATATAAAGTAAATCTAACACACTTTCAAAAACTAACTCAAATGAAGAAGACTACCCAAATCTTAGACAGAATTTATTTTAATTGATGTGAGATATCTTAATACTCATCTCATGTTAAAAATTAAACATCTAATGTACAAAGTTTAAGTTTGTTAAAATGTCTCAAGTTAGTTAAAAATAAAGTTAGTTTGAATGTTGGGTTGCTTGCAAATGTTTGACTAGATCAATAATACTTTTAATACCACTTTAACAAATATGTTTTTTATGAACCAATGATTAAGAGTAAATAAGACTCAATTTTTTTAGTAATTTATGTCAACAAAGCTTATAAATATAATAAAAAATTACAAAAAATATATTTTTACCAACTAATTATTTGTTATCTTCTTAACTAATTAAAGATACCAGTTAAAGAATCAAAAGTAAAATTTTTATTAATATTTTTGTTAAATTGTATTAAAATTTCAAGAGAGTTGCGTATTAATAATATTTTTTTGGTAATATTTTTTTTAACTTTCATAAGAACACTAGTTAATATAATTACAAACATAAGCTTAGCATTATTTAATTTTGAAGACAATGCATACCATTATTTTGTGCTATACTATTATTTGCAGTTCTAAAACAACATTTTTATCTATTTTATTAGATAATGTAATTACACTTACTAAAACATACAAATAAAACATAAAAACAAAATCATCCTCTTAAAAGAAGGCTATTGTTTTTCTTACAGCAAATAATCTTTGGTCATCTCTTGTCTCGTCATTGTACCATCACTTCATAGAAGTTTTAATGAATTTGAGCATAATAGAAAAGCATAATGAACATTGTGAAGGCACACCTTAAAGATCCAGACAATGAAAATCGGCCCTAGAAAGGCCCATTTGAATAAGCTTTTGTATTTTAGTGTAAAGATTCATTGCAATTATTTGTTTTCGAAGGGTAAGTACAGAGAACTGTGTCGGCACCCCAGACTCAAAATTAGTGTTTATATTTACTTTATATAATTATATATATGTATTTATTTTAACGTTATTATTTATTATTTTTATATTTAATTTAGGTTTATAAATTTTTAATACACAGAATTAAATAGTGAATTATGATTTGAACTTTTGGTGGAAGTTTGAACGAAAACGAAAGTTTATAAGGTTTACACTTAACGTATTCTTAATATTTTATTTATTTTTTATAAACTTTTACAATATAAAATATGAGATTTTATTTACAAATATTGCTTTAATAAGTTTACAAGCTTATCTGTAAATAGGTTAATAAATTTAAATTTATATGTAGATTAAATCCCTTAGATTGTTAAATAAATTAAAAAGTATATAATATATATTAAAATATTAAAGTAAAATTTAATATATTATTATTATTATTAAAGAAATTATATTTTAAATGGTTTAAAGCTTTAAATTTAAATTTAAAAAAAAATTATTAATATTAAATATAGGATTAAATTTTTTATGCTTCAAACATATATTAAATTTTAATATTATGATATATATATATATATATATATATATACTAATGTTTTTAATTTATACACTGCACGAAAGTATTTTATTAAAAATAAAAATTTATTTAAAAATAATTTTAATGAATTAAATATTTATAATAAAAATAATTTTTTAAAAATTATTCAAATAAAAAATAAAATTTTATAATAAAAAATATGTAAATATATATATATTAATTTTAATACACATTCAAATGCTGGTATTTGTTATTTTGTGTCATGTGTGAATTTTTTTTGATGGAATCACATGACAATTATAATAAATAATTTGAAAATATTAGATTTTAAAATTAAAATTTAATATATTTTAAAAGATTAAATATATATTTAATTCTTAAAATGTTATAAATTTTTTATTTAAATTTTCATCTTTATTAAAAAAATTTGGTCTATAAACATAGTACTAAAATTGATTTTTTTTTTATAAAACTCAAAACAAGGAATCCGATCATAATATTTTTAGAAATTAATAATTTATTTAAATTTTTAAAAATAAATAATATGATTTTTTTTTATAAATTTTTAAATTACCAAATGAAGAAAATATTAAATATCTTTAATATTTTCAAAATAATAAATATTCTTTCATTTGTTTTCTTTTATTATCTAAGGTCCCACACAAATAATAAAAAATCTTTAAATGATATGTATTTTTAATGTGCCGTAACTAAGATAACCTTATTTAAATTCTATCAAAAAATTCTACTTGTTATATTTTTTATTTTTTGATTTTTCACAAACTCACTATTTGATGAAGGAGGTTATAAATAGGATAAATAATTATGGCACATAGTTAAATATATTATCAATATACTATTTTTATCACTATTTATCTATTTGAAAGATACGAAATTGTATAAATAAAAAATTTAATTATTTTATTAAAATTAACTGTTAAATTTATAAATTTATTTTTTATTAATAATTTTATCTTGACTTTTAAACTATTTAAATAATATAAATATTTTATGAGCTTTATAAATATCAATTTTTAAAATTTACCTTAAATACTCAAAAATAGTAAATTTATAAAAAAATATATATTTATAATAATTTTTAATAAAAATATATTAGTTTGTGTACTTGAATTTTTAATATTTTTTATAAAAATATTAGTAAAATATAATACTTAATGTGATCTTAATTTTTTTTACACAAATAAAATAAAAGTAGTATTCAATGAGAATAAATTTAGAAAAAAAGTAAATTAGTGTCAAATTTATAAAATAAAAAAGTCTGAAAACTTAAATATAAATAAGAGAGTACATATATTATTTATTTATAAAATAAAAATATTAAGATGATAATAAAATTGTAAAAATAGAAATAAGAAAAAACCGGCTATTACAGGTGCAATTCATTATGGAGGAGAGGAGAATAGGAAAACACTTACTACTGTCATTGTGATTGAACTTTGCTTTGCAACCAATCTCCAGTCTTCCCCAAATTCCCTTCGCATAACCACATTGCTTACAACTTACGACCTGCAATTACTCTTTCCTTTCACTCACTCTCTTCGCTTTTCTCTCTCTCTCTCTCTCGCTCTCCGTCAACGACAAGATGCAGATCTTCGTTAAGACTTTGACAGGAAAAACCATCACTCTCGAGGTCGAGACCAGCGACACCATCGACAACGTCAAAGCCAAGATCCAGGTTCTCTCTCTCACTCTCTGATTTCATCCAGTCAGGGTTAAGGTTTTTGCTTCACTGGTTTATTGGTTCTCGCTATTTCTAATATGTTGCTCCGCTTCCTCTTTCATTTTTAGGGTTTCTAAGAAATTTAAAAGGTTATAAGTTTAATTATATGCTCTATGGAGAAACCAGAGTCGACGGATACTTATATGCATGTTTAGTGTGATTTTTTTCAGGTTTTGTTGCCAGAGAAATGTTTTAAGCTTCTTCTTTTTTTTTTCAGTGTTTTAAGCCCTAGCTTCAGTTTATTTATCTAGAGAAAAACACTAGATAGCTGTCGATAAGAGATTGATTGATACGAATACGCTTACTGGAAGACAGATATTAAGTTAGCTTCAATTGTGATAGAGCTAGCTTTTCTTTCAGTCTCCGCATCTCTGCCTATATATGCATGGATAAACTTGATCATAAAAATTTCATGCTCATGATTGAATAACTGGAATTTATTATAAAATTACATTTCAAATTGCCTGCTTTTGCATTTTTAAGCGTAGGTTAGGACTTGATCTTTGGGTTTTGTTTATTGGACTTTGGACCTTTTATATTTATTTTGGCCTTTATGTATTGGTATTGGACTTATCAGCAAGAATTTGATTTTTGATCGAGTTTAATAGCTAATTCACTTAGTGGGATGCTTGACTGTTGTTGTTGTAACCTATTTTACTGTTGGAGATAGTAGTATTTTCACATGACCTCCAAAGATTATTTTCATTGGAAGATTTACACCCACAGTCCTCTCTTCCAGCCTTGTCTTTTTCATCCTTCCACTCACTGGCCACAAACAGTTACAATTCTGTAGGCTCAAGCTTTACACCTTTACCTTTGCTAGCTCTCTCTCTCCTGATAAGCTTGCATAATGGGACTGAAAATACTTCAGAAACATGTATTGCAATAGTTGTCATTTGCCTTTTGCTTCATTAATTCCTAACAACTACTGGTGGAATATGTGTTTGTAGGACAAGGAAGGTATCCCTCCGGACCAGCAAAGGTTGATTTTTGCTGGGAAGCAGCTGGAAGATGGTCGCACTCTTGCTGATTATAACATACAAAAGGAATCAACGCTTCACTTGGTGTTGAGGCTTAGGGGAGGTACCATGATTAAAGTGAAGACTCTAACTGGAAAAGAAATTGAAATTGACATTGAACCAACTGATACAATTGACCGGATCAAGGAGCGTGTTGAAGAAAAAGAGGGAATTCCACCCGTGCAGCAGAGGTTTTCTCTTTTCTTCTTTACTCATACTAATTGGGCTTAAAAGAAAAGCCTTTGTTAATTCAATTTACATGATTTAACTCTTAGATGGATACATGCATGTTCCACATGGTGTAGAAAACTAGGTTTACATGTACTATTGTCAATAATAAAATGATAGAAAGTGGAAAAATATATGGCCTTATTATTTTTTTTTCTCTCCTTAAATTCATATATCACTTAGTTCTTTTTATCTGTCTATACACTTTATAATATGATTCCTGGACAGTAACAGGAGTGTTTGGTCTAACTTTTTTGAACTTCTCTTTAAAAGTTGATTCAGCTTTTATAGAGGTTCGTTTTTTGTGTTTTTGTTTTCTTGTTTTTAAAAAAACTACTTTTATTTTTAAGAGCTTTTATAAATTACATTTGGCTCAACTTCTCCTTTTAAACAAAGGAGAAGCCCAAGAAAAGGTTAGGCAACAAAAGCTCCATAAGTCTAGTTTAGCATATATTCTAACAAATGTTTGGAATGTCTTAAATTTGGACTAAGACTTAACTCAACCCCAAAAGCTAACTCTTAACGTGAGGATTGCTTTAACCTTTATGAGCTCTTATTTGACCACATCTATAGTTAATGTGAGACTTCAACAGAATTCATCTATATTTATGCATTAATTTGTTCCCTAGTTGAATTAGCAAATTATTGGTAGTAGGGCATAGTTTGGTTCTTGTCATTGTGTTATGTGCCTTAGTGTAGGACCTAGTCACAGGTCTGGACACAGTAGAATCCTTCTCGTGCTATATAGTGAATTGGGAGAAGCAGACTCATCCTTCACAGAGCCCGTTCCAAAACTAACTAAATGTTGCTGTTCATTGAATAATGACAGCCTTTTTAAAGAATACTAGTACAAATAACAAAAAAAGAGATAGTAAATAATAGGATCTTGACTAACAATGAAAAGAGATTTAAAATTATAGGACCTCGATCAATTAAAGGATTCTATTGACATGGCAATATTAGACTTATATTCAGTTGAATCCTGGCCATGTCTACTGCTGCTACCTTCCTTCTCTAATATTGACATCCCAGGTGTCTACTTATGTCAGCTTCTGCATACCATTGGAAAGCCCTTCAAGAGACTAGTTAAGGGAGTGGCCACATACCCATAATTTTCCTCACATCAAATTCCACTCCAGCACCATGGATGACATGCTTGAGATAGGCTACTTACAACTTTCCAAAAAGACACTTCTGACATCTTTAAGAAAATGTTAGCTCTTAAAGAGTTCAAAAACTAATCTCATATGATGCATGTGTTCAACTCATGTTTTGCCATAAAATTAATGTGTCATCAAAGAAGACCAAAACAAACTTATTCAAATCAGGTCAGAAAACATTATTCATCAAACTCTGAAAAGTCAAAAGGGGCATTAGTACGTCCATACGGTGGCGTGACTAGAAATTCAAAGTGTCCATGCTGGGTTCTAAAGGATGACTTCTCCACATCTAATGGTGTCATACTGATTTGATGTTAGCCATATTACAAATCTAACATGTTAAATGTTGTGTAATATATAGTTCTTCCAGTAGCTGATCCACCACATGAATCCATCTTATCTTGAACAGTGCTAATGTTGAGCTCATGGTAACCAACATAGAATGCCAGGAACCATCATGCTTCTTGTCCAAGAAGACAGGGTATCTACAAGGCTAAATGATCCCTTGTAGCATAGGACATTGCTTCTCAATCTCATCCTTTTGAAAATGTGGGTTGGATCTGGTAAGGTCTTACAATGATTGGTCCCAACCTTTGTATGAGATGTAAGTGATGGTCACACTCGTTGCTAGGGGGCAAGGCAGCAGGTTTGTTGAACAAGTCTGTAAATTTAATGAGTAATTTATCGTAGACTACTGCAATTGAATTGTGCCCTTGCACCAAACCAAGCTGTGGTTTTGTCTCTAGAGGTTGTCCTTGCCACAGCTTCTCTTTCCCATTTAATACAAACTGGTCAAGGAATTAACGTCTTACAAAATCAGACCAAGAGTGCTGTATCATTTTACTCCTCAAATCACTTCAAACCCTGCTAATGGAATAATATAGAAGTCAGCTTGGAAGATGTTATTTGCATCCAGAAACAGTACATACTTACAAATGCCCTTGCTAGGTACACATTCTCCATTTGTCAATCTGCAGCCCTAGTCATCTCCACAGTTCAGTCTGAAATTTGGTATTAATCTTTCACACAGAAAGTTGTGTCAGCCTGAATCTGCTAGCGCTAAAAAAGTATCTTCTGACCTCTCTTCTTGCAATTGCATGATATGAGAATCTTAGATCCCATTGATGGCATGCATAGAAATCTTAAGAATGGCCAGAATACCTTCCTTTTATTCACTTCTGGAATCTAAAACCTTAATCTAAAATAACCATCCACATTTGTGTCCTATCAACTGGATTCATTATAATTATAACACAGTTCCATTGCCATCCTTTTACAAATTGAGTAGAAGAGCCTACCCTGCTGCTTCTCCCAACTACTCCTTTTGTGTTAGAACACTTGTTGGGGTGGAGGTGATAACACAATTGCTGTTGGTTTTGGAGGTAGGCCAACTAATGTTGGTTTGTGAGGTTTAGTGTTCTCAGAGAAATCCATTGTTTGTGAAAATTCATGTGCTATATTCATTGCAATTCAGAAGTTCCTGGCTGATGTCAATCCTATGTTCTAAGAATTCCCATACACCTGGCTTGTAACAACTGGAATTGGTGCAGACCCAGCCTGTTCAAGGTTAGTGAGTGAGACTCAGGTGGCCCAAATTTTACATGACAGTTCTTCATTATATCCTCCAGTTCATTTCTGGCTCCTCTTACTCCATCTGATCAAACATTGTTGCACCTCACCCAGTAGATGAAAAGCAGCCAGGCCTCTACTTCAGCATCCTTCGGTGGAGAATCTCTCACATCATTTCAGCAAACCTTAGGGATTACCAATGCTCATCATAAGTAAGAAATTCTATTTTATAGTATGTTGATACCATGGGCCCCCCTGGCTACAATCAGATTTGTCCTCCAAACACCAAGTGCAGTCTTCACTACCATTGGCTTGTCCTTCTGCACTATTCTGAACTCATCTATTTCCATGCCTCCAAATCATGATGGCAAGTTCTTCCATCTCCTCTTAGGCACGATGTTGGGTAGCCATTTGTTCCATAAAACTCAGAATAATAATATGTCCTTCATGGTATATTGACAGCCTTTTTAATGACTGCTAACAAAGGAAAGAGGTCCTGAATGATAGAATCTTGAGTAACAAAGGAAAGAGATCTAAAATTATAGAACCTTAATCAGTTAAAGCATTCTACTGAATATAAATCTAACCTATTATAAAAGAAACAAAATAAAACAAACAAAAGAAACAAAATAAAACTCTAATTGGGTAAGCTAGGTTGCAATTGCTGCTTGCTGCCACCGCCTTCCTTCTCTGTTATTGTCATTGATGTATCTGCCCTATCAAACCAGGATACTTGAAATTTGCCTAACTATCAGTGTTGGACTCATCAGATACTGATACATGCATGATACGTCCGGTTATGATCCATAAATTATGAAATATGCCTAATTGCTTATGTTGTACAGCAGTTGTATTTGATTTTCTTAATATTCAAGAGTACCAGTGAATTTTGATTCTCATTCTTTTCAATTGAATTACTTCTTCAGCGAATTTTGATCCTTGTTTTATTTTATAAAATGGACTTATATTCTATTGGAAACATTAGAATCTTACAACTGTTGCCACTTGCTGCAGACTCATATATGCTGGTAAGCAGCTTGCTGATGACAAAACAGCTAAAGAGTACAACATTGAGGGTGGTTCTGTACTTCACTTGGTGCTTGCATTGAGGGGTGGTACTTGTTATTAATATACAATGCATATGTCTCGAAATCAGCTTGTTCAGACATGGTCACTTGCAAGTTCTTGGTAAATGTTTGAGTCGCATCTGAACCTAAAGAAATGAAAGGAAGCCCTATACCTATTCGTCTCTGAAGACCTCATTGTTCTTTTATGTGCTTGGTTTTTATAATTTTGAGGCTACTATTGGTGATCAGGAACTCAGTATCTTTAAGTTGCATGCTTAAACTCTAAGTTGGCCTTTCATAATGAAAATGTCCGAACCAATGATTCATAACCAATAGTTGAGGAATATAATTTGCTCTCATATTTTTCAAGGGTGCGCTGATGTTTAACCTTCTAACAATCCTGATAGTGTCGGAGAAGTTTATCTGCTGTAACTTTGTTTCTCATATTTTTGGATGGTAGTGATGGATTAGTATCGGATTGGGTTCATTGAGATGATTTTAATGTTGGGTTGGTGTTCAATGGGCATTTGTATGCAATGTATTCTGTAGCAGGCTATGGCCCACATCCATGTAGTTTCTTGCTTTATGCCCATTCCAAATTCGGTCATCTGTCTCTTGCTTTCCCCATCTGATGTGCATTATGTGCATGGGCCATTTTTTTACATTCTAGTTGGATACATTCTGATTAATACAACAAATTGCTGGAGGGGTGAAAATTCTATCTACAATAGAGTTGATATTGGGATTTTAACTGGAATCGGAAAGGAAGTGAATTGCAAATCGTAAACTGTCATTAAAGATTGCATTACTTTTTTCTCACCGGCCTCTTCCACTGCTTCATCAAGCGTCTTAAATAGGTTGTCTGCCGTTTTACCAACGTGGGATGAATCAAATAGACTTTAAAAATACTGTACCTTTGGGGTTCATCAAGAAATTATGGTCCTCCTCGTCAGTCCACCCATTAGTTATAACGATTTTACAAATATATGTTCAATAAAATTCATTTTCAATCACATTTCTTGCTTGAAGTACTTCACATAACAGAAAATTTTTCATTCCTTGGCACATTGCATGGTATGGCATTGTTGTGGAAAAACTTTGCAATTGCATGCATCCTTTCTTATACGCTTTTTTTTCTTTTAGGTCAATTCTTACGCTTCTTAACATGCTATTTATTCTGCCTTACGATTTGCGAACTAACTCCTTTTCTTGAAAATGTTTCCAGTCAATAACCTCAACTTCAACCACTTCATTATTATTATTTTTTTTATCATTTCAGCAATTCCTATAGACTCCTCTTTGTTAGCTGATTTTTTAGCAAGCTAGTCACAATCTCCAAAATCTACTTATTCACTTCTTTAGGGACAACTTTGCAAGGCTCATCATTTTTATTTGTTCCAGCCAAGTAACGCTTAAAGCGGTAAACACAATTTAGTACCGTTTGGAAGAATTTTCATTGAACCTTCACAATGTCATCGAACAGATGTCCTTACTCTGGGAGCTGTAGTTGGCCAGTACTAACAACCCCTTTTGAAGCGATTTTAACTCAAATACAAAATGGAGCAGAACAGAGATGAGAACAATAAAACAGATAAAGGGCTTGAATAAGAGTAGAACAAACCAGGATAAGGGAGGGCAGGGTTGTGGGAGTTATGTTGGGTTTGAACAAAATAGAAAAGGACGTCTAAACACAGTTAAGATTCAAACGGAAAAGAGGCTGAGATTTAGGGTTAGAGACAAAATGGATGTGGTCATATCCAACTATCTAGATCCAAAATCTGGGATTCCTGTAATGAGGGTGAAATCTCACAATTTTAGGCATTTCACATTTCAATCCCCACTTTACTATGATTTCACCAGCTTGCAATTCCCTGTGCCAAGGCCATCGTAAATTTAATCTTTCAAATTCGGATTTCAACCATGCATGTGATAACCGCATTGGATTTGCAGCGTATTAAAGATTCTCACTCCATACTTTAAACAAATTTCATTTTATTTAAAATTACTGTCAACTTGTCTTTCGCTTTTGCGGTAATTAGTGATTTCTCAAATTTTCCTAATTCCTTTTAACTTCCGTATAGAGAATTTACAATAAACTAACTCTTTACAGACGCTTAGCAAACTTGAATTGGGGACAAAAAGGCTTCGATAAATCTCTTTGTGGAGTGTTGATGTACACATACCTATTTAACCGTGTAATGTGGACAAATAAAAAAAAGAAAACCAGTGATATAATTAATGTCCAGGCATTAGTTATGGAATTAATAAATAACATGTTTTTTTTTTATTAAATGTAACATTAAGGGTATATTAAAACTTACAGTGAAAAGGCATTTATACTATAAATATAATTTTGTCAACTAGTGATTATGCCAACAAAATTGATGTTGTTAACAAATAATTGTATTATTTTTAGTGACAATTAAAAGTACCCAAGATAGTTCTTTATTTTTTCATCATTAAGTACGTTGTTGAAAAATTAAATAAATCTCATGTTAAGAACTTATAAATATCAAGTTAGTATAAATATTAGTATTAACAATTTATATGACATTGAACAAAATTATAACTAAATATGCTAATTCTTGTTATGGTAAATTAAAGATCGCAATGAAGATATAATAATAATACTTTTTAATAAAAATATTTTTTAATTATTTAACTAAAATCGTAAAGACATTAATTAACATTTATCACATAAATATACGTATATAATCTTCCATGCATCTTTCAACATTTGTTGCAATGGGGTAAAATTAGCAGGCTAGTCAAGTGTTGACTTTAAGCAGAGATTGGCTTATTTTAACAAATGAAGTCATCAAGCACTATCCCACGGGGTTCCCCTATTCAACAAGTACAATTTTTCTAAAAATTAAAGAACTCAAAAATAGTATATTTTATATTGGTCCTTTACTTAGCTTGATGCATGTCAACTTGATGCTATCATATTCACACACAATTAAGCAGACAAATTGACTAAACCTGAATTTTGTGCGTTTAAATGTAACATATTTCAAGAAGTCTTACTTCATTAACCATCATACTGAGATATTAAGTTTCATATTGATTTTGCACTACCAACAGATTAAAAGCTTTTAGATAAGTGGCTAGGTTACTCAAGATTGTAGCTTACTCATTTCCCCTCCCTCTTAGATTGTAATCACATTTTAAAATCTTAACATAGTATCAAGTCTATATGAAAAAAATTTTAAAGCCCAAGTTTAGAAACAAAAGTGGACAAAAAAAAAAAGATTTGTGGCTTTGTCTCATAAGTCTATTAATAGGTTGCTCAAGTTTATTTTGGATTAGGCTCACATTCTAAAATCTTAATAAATCATCTTAAATAAGTTTCTAAACTAAATGTGTGATGAAAATAAGTAATTAAGGTTGTTTTACATTCTCGTAGTCTATCATCGATTTCCCTGTCCTAATCTCTATTCCTTATTTGTCTCTCTTGTACTCAAACTTCCATTTTTCGCACTTGGTATTTATTGAAGATAAGGAAAAGAGAAACAAAGAATTTGGCCATGTTCATGCATATATCTTATTTTTCTTATGTCTTATTTTTCTTTGGTTGATTGATGATCTAAAACTATATTAAAGTTCCAATGGTTTGCATTGCCTTACTCTTGCCATCTTATGCCGCAAGTTAGGTGTTGCATGCAGCACGCTGTTAACTTATCACAACTCACAAGTCACAACTTGTCCCAGACACAGTCTATTTTAAAGGCTAACGTAAACCATACATCACTGGTGCTTTAATTTTGATAAATACCTTGGAGTCATTTAGGTACTCGATTATTGTCGATTATGTCATTCTTCTTCAGGCTATTGATTGTCTTTTCATTTGAAAACTTAACAAGCATGGCATAAGTCATCCATTTTTTAAAAATATAAGTTGAATAATGAAGAGTTTACTATCTGTTCTGTTCTCGCATAATTCTCACAAAACAATGATTTAAAAATTTGATTAATAGAAGTGTGAAAGAATATGTCTATACGGTTTTTCACTGGACTCGTGAAATAGGATGTTCTTGTTAGATAACATCAATTTGAATCGTTCTTATCTTGTTTCTCTTTTGTTTTTTCATTTCGAAAATTGAAAAAGAAAAATATGTAAACCTCAATACCTGATATAGTGTAATAGGGTCCTTAATTTGATCATAAATGAGAATACATCGTTTGTTTTGCTCAATAAACATCTTTTGTCAAACTTAAACACTTTCTCTTACCTGAAAAATCCAAGCACCCGTGTAGGAAATAGACCTTTGAGGGTTTGTGTTCACAACTACCAAACTGACAAAACATCAACCAGGTTGAGTGGATCCCACTTAGAATAATTCCCTCCTAACAAAGGCCATACGTCATTCATATGCAATATTTTATTTTATTTTATACATATTATTTAAATATCTTTCTCACATAGTTTTCAATTTTCTTGAGTTTTCTCGTTCTCTCCATGGATTGTTCAGTTCGGTAGTCATTTAAAGTCATTAATGGTAAGTAAAACCTTACTAACCCAAAAAGAAAGATGTCAAAATTAGGTACCCATGCTACAAAAGCCTTGTAATGTTAGCTTCCCTAACAGAGACTAAATGGCATTTACTATATATTAATTCATTTAATGTTGCTTTCTTCTTGTCATTTTCATGTGGGTAGACTTATTGGACTGAAATATAAGATTGCATGGGGCTTAGTTTTTGCATATATTACTTGAAATATGTTTTACAATAATGAGTGTCAGAAATATATATTATAATATTCAACTGGCGCCAATTAGAGCTGGTCACCTAAATCATAATTAAGTTGAGGGCTTGCCACCATTGTCTTTGATATGCAAGCACACCATGAAGCTTACGACATTCCACTTGCTGACGCATATATGTGAAATTTCAATGCAGGTAGGTTCGAATATTCAACAAGGAATATCATAAACATGAAGAATTGGGGTCTGTAAAATCATTTAACTGAACTGACTTCTCTCTCTTACAACACTATTCAAACACTTGTATATTATGATTTAGGTAAAATTTTTCTGTTTCGTAATTTTTTTTTATTCAAACTATAATTTAGAGGTTCCTAACAAACTATAATTTAGCGGATATTTTCTGACAAAACTCACTTAGATAAGTGTTGATAATATTATTCTGCAATCACTTTCCATTTATCCATACAATATATATTTTAAATATGAAATATAAAATGCTTATTAAATATATTCACTACTAACTTCATTAAGGGATACTTGGATAACATAAAGCATATAGATAAAAAAAAATTCATTATTTACAATTTATATAATCTTATATTATTAATTAATATGATATGATTATGTTAAAGAGAGAAAGACACAATTTTGATCAAATAAAAACTCATCTTGCTTGTTGTAGGTCCACTAATTCATGTTGATAAAAAAATTGTATAATTCTCTCCACATATCATGCTACTCAATATGAAAAAAAATCATGATATGATTATGTTGGAGAAGAAAGACACAACTTTTATCACACAAGAAGGACTCACCTAGATTGGTTGTAGGTGTTTCTAATTAAAGTTGATAAAAAAATTTGTATCTTTTTTTCTTCAACACCTTGGTTTGTTAGTTTTGTTTTTTATATATTGGATAGCATTTGACATGTCAGGATGATAATAAAATATATTCTCACATCTCAATTTTAAAATCCCTAACTTTACAAGTTAACCTAAAGT